GTGTTTTCATAGCAGCATACAATAAAATGATTATCCATTTCTCCTCCTCCTCTTACGAATGGTCTATGAAGAAGGGTCTAGTGAGGATTGGTAGAAGCCTCTGTGAGTTCCAGCGCTCTCCAAATCCTGTAAGATGTAGAAATTATATTCTTTGGGATCTGGGATTGGATTCCTCACATGAAAAATGGGGTGCGCTGTGGTGCTTGGGATGTGTGGTGTTCTTGGCTTTTGGTAGTTTGGGTGTGTTTTTTCTGGGTTTTTTTCCTTGGGTGGCTTTTGGTGGTTTTTTGATATATAAAAGCTTACCAGTAGAGCATATGAACTTGAGGAAAGAAATCTCTCTTTAGCTGTTCTAGCTAAAAGTTTAGCTTTGGCAGGCCTTTTCCACCTGTAGTATTCCTACAGAGTACTTCACAACATCTCAGGGAAGGCGGAGTTTCTTCCAGGTATTGTACCCTGGTTTTGTGTTGCAAGTGTGCAAAACTTGTCTACAGCAGGTAGAAGTCAAGTGGAATAGCTCTCTCCTGGGCCTGCAAGGGTTAGGCTGTCCTCAATAGGGAAAGTTATTCGGATTACCCTCTTGCTTTCTCAGGAAGTAGCATGGCAGAGTATATCTAACAGTTACTTGTATCTAGCAGGATCCTGTCAGAGAAGACGGAATTAATTTGGAGAAAGGGATAAATAAGTTATAACTGAGGGAATAATAGTGTTTTGGATGCACCTCCTGTGAAATAGCTTTCTGTAATAAAGGTCATACTTTTCAGAGAGAAAGGTATAAGCTTTCTTTTTTCCTCTCTGTTCTGCCTTTGAGGTGCAAAGGTGTTACTGAATTTGTCTTTTGGCCTTGAAAGCCACTTTCTGTTATCTACTTCTCCTCCTCCTCCTCCTCTTACAAATAGTCTACAAAGAAGGGACAGGTGAGCATTGGTAGAAACCTCTGTGAGTTCCAGCGATCTCCAGTTTTGGTTGTCTAATGGAATGTAATGATTCAGTAGAAATTAACTATTTGGATATTTCTCAAATGCCTGATGAGTTGATGCAGTCAGCAGAAGACTTGATATCATCTGCATCTTCAGTAGAATAAGTAGAGATTTGCAGCTGTAATTATTAGTGCTTTGTAAGCACTTTTCTTTTTTTCTCTTTTCTTTATTTGTGTGGTTTCTTTATTGGTTTTTGTCAGAGGATCATTAAGACAGTGTGCGCACTTCCCTGAGTATTCTTGTTAATTATTCCTTTTTATATATCTTCAATTGTAGTTCTTTCTTGGGATTTGGGGGGAGGGGTGTTTTTGGGGGGAATTTTTGCCTAAAATGTGTTCATTAAGAATCAGTTTTATGTGGGTTTCATATCCTGATCTGAAAAATATTAATTTGCAGTAAATGCGAATAATCAGTTTGGCGTTGCTTGTGCCAATAATTTCTATGTGTTTAAATAATTTTATTTTCCTCCAAGAATCTGAATGGAGATGATGGACAAATCCTAACGAAAAAAAGAGTTCCAGTGGATGTGATATTACAAGGTGATGAGAGAAATATTCCCAAATGGATAACGGTAAGATATTTCTCCTGTTATTTCTCCTGTTCTAAGTTACTAGCTAGTTGGACTAAAACAAAAGCTCTTTAACTGGGTAGCAGTTAAATGAATTTTAACACAACTTTTCTGTGGCTCTCCCATTCTTCTTCTGCTGGATGTCTGCGTAGATGTTGGCACTTTGACCACTATGATATGTAAGAAACAGAGCAAATGTTTTATAATTTTATATTCCCTTTTTTTTTACTTTTATATTTATTTCTTCGATCCCTGGTGTGCAGTTTGATCTTTGAGCTGTCAATTTTCCTAAAAGTCTAAATCTGACCTTCGTAGAGGACAAAAGAAAGAATTAGCTTTGCTTTCATTTGGGGGGTGAGGAAGATCAGAGGTGAAGTGTCAGGATACAGCTTCTCTTTTCCTCTGGAGCTGTCAGAGATGTCGAGATTATTCAGAAGTGTTTGTGTGTAGATATATATATATATCTCCATGGATAAATTCTTATATTTGGGGTAGGAATTAATACATGACATATAATGTAGAAGTTGAAAAAAATCATGAATAGCTTTCCAGGACTAACTAGTAACTCCTGAAACTTGCTACTCAAGTCTCAGACTAGATGTTTTCCGCTTTGTCTGAACTTGGCTGAGCCCTTCAAGACCATAACTGTACCTGACCCAGAACAGCAAGATGCAAGGGAGTCACACGTAAGGTTTTGATGATATCTTGAACACGCAAAAAACTCAGAACATTAGATTGTTTTTTACTTTCTTTGTTTTTCAGATAATAACTCCAAGTTCGTCAAAAAGTCGTCATTCAACATTGCCAGGGCGAGAACTGCTTGGTAAAATTAAGACTTTTGTCTGTTGGTCAAATATATTTGTTTAACTATATGGTTTTATTGTAATTCATTAGGCGGAATATGCATTTTGAACAAGGGCTTTATTTATCTTGCTGAAATTTTTAATAGGCTGCATTTCCAAGGACAATTTGATATGATTTTTCTTTTGGTAAAATATATTTGGAAAACAAAGGAAATAACTTGTGTACATAAATCCTGCTTTTCTTATGGAGCCTCGGGAATAAATATGCATAGTTACCAAATTCAGCAGCATGTAGCTCAGTGAAAGCAGTGGGTTTTAGTTCTGTTTATTTTAAACTCAAAAATGTAATACAGTGGCTTTGCTGGCAACTTGTAGTCAGAGTGGTACTTTGCACATAAACTTTGCTCAGAACCTTTCCAGGCTTGGTGGAAGCCTAAGAGTTTTAGTGAAAATATTTTAGGCTTAACAACTACAGAAAGCATTATTTTAATAATAATTTATGAAAGCGAAAGCTGCACTTGTACTAGCCAAGTACAAAGCTTTCAAGGAACACAGAAAATAAGTTACAAAACCTTTTGGATAAGGCTGTTAGTTCTGATCACGAGTCACAAAATGTCAAAGTCTACCCCTGCAAAGAGTATCTGCATTTTATGGTACTTCGAATGTTGTGTTTTTTCCAATACGTTTAATTTCTTTCCTGTCTAATATGTGAATTCCCTATGGTTAGGAACTGTATTTTTTTTTTTTAACAATCAGTAAGGCTATCTGAATCCTATGCAGTTGGTTTTAAGTTATACAGTGTATCATTGGAAGTGCCTTTATAGGTTTGGATTTTTTCTGTCTTCTGTTTTGTTTTTTGACTCATTGTAGTTTTTGGTTTGGTTTTGTGTTTGTTTTTTTTTTAATAGGTAATCAAGCTTCTGTTTGCAGAAAGAAGCTAGAGTTTTCAAATGAATGTTCTTCATCCAAATATCCACAGTTACAACATTCTGCTTTTCCCATTTCATCAAATACCATAGCCTCACCCAGGCATCGACCTTGTCCAGAACTGAGCATGACTTCATGTGGTAGTATCCTTGGAGATGAGGAATGCTCTTTGAGCAGTCCAACTCTTTCAAGCTTGTATCCAGCAATGGTAGAGATATTTACAAAGCTCATGGCAAAGCATTCTCAGAGAAGAGTGTTAAAGTACTTGTTTGGACACTTATGGTCCAAGAGACGGCATTCTAGAAGACCAAGGCTCAGAATCACTGTAGACAAAATGAGACAGTTCAGACCCTGTAAATGTGAACTAAAGAAGAAAGGATTTCACAAGATGTGTAGCTGTAGAAGTGAAGACAACCAAAATCTGACTTATGGGAATGACAGCAGAGAATTCTGTTGTGACAGCTGCCCCATTAGTAAATCATCTGGTCTGGTGCCTTATGCATGTGCTGATACAAATGAAATCAAAATAATGCACTACTCTGACTCAAGTTCAGAACAACCTTTGGCATCTGGAAAAAGCCAAGAAGTCTGCAAACATTATGCTGTTCCTGATGTTATGAATAGAATAGGAGAGACATTTCTAGTTGAAAATAAATTACAGACTACTGCCTCACCAAAGAATTCAGAATACACAGAAGGTGAAACATTTACTTACAAACATTTCTCAGAACCCAGTTTTATAGCGTCTACTGCTAGTTCAGATTCAAGAGCGTTTCATCTTGTAAAAGAGAGGAAGACTCAGAAAACTGACTTCTATGTTGGTACCTCAGAGTTGTATTCATCTGCTTGCAGTTCCCATGGCAATAGAAACAATTCTATACCTACCACAAATTGTTCTCCTGCAAGATCATCAAATGTGTTCGTATATCCTCAAAAAATAACTTCTTTCCAGCACAAAGAATCATTTTCCTCCTGGAAGCAGAGTTCTTCAAAGACAGACAAAGAAATAGATGCTGCATTTGACCAACTCTACTACAGAGTGATTTCTGGAGAATACCTAAAGCCTTTGTCATTGACAAGACCTCTGTTAAACTCACAGAACCTTGAAGAGAAAGGACCATTAGTGAAGAGTAATCTAAGTGTTTCTGAGAGGTCCCTTAAACAGTTTGATGTAGAATTTGAGAAACTGTGTGGGAAGCTTGTTCCAAAATCTCCTGAGCTTCAGACAGCTTCAAATTTCAGGAAATATGAAGAAATACAGATGCCTGAAACTGTAAATGCTCTTGTTAATTCTCCTGTCCAAAGATATTCTGCAATTTCCAGTGTTAAAAGAGCAGGAAATTTTCAATACCCTCTTCCTTGTTCACCAGTAAAGCGACTGAAATTTATACCAGGACACTGTTTTTCCGCAAGCAAAAGTCAGGAGATTTCCCACAGTAAAGAGGATAATCTTCAGACAGGTGGCACATTCAACTGTAGCAACCCCAGCTTTTTTGCTGATCACCACTGTCATTGTCAGGTATTTAAGGACCTTGGGGGAAAAAAATTGCACCTGTAGATATTTGGAGAAGGGCTTAAGAATGCATTAGAGCTGCAAGCTGTTTTAACTAGGGATAGCATACTTCTGGTGCTTTTTGGTCAGTAGGGATGTTTTACAGCTCTGGGGGCTTGGGGATGTCAGGTCTTCTGGATCCATGTGATAACGCTCTCTATATTTAATAAATTTGAAATGGTTCTAAATGAAAGGTTTTACTCCATTTTAATAGACAATGTTGCTGGAAAAAATTATCTCAAATAGTAACTCAGTTATGGTGTTGTCCTTCTGAAATAATGACATTAATTTTATAGACTGACAAGGTGAAACAAACAAATTAATCTTGATAGGGTTTCACAGGAATCATTAAACTTGTTGATTTAAATCAGACACCTATTTCCAAGTTCACGGTCACTTCTTCTGAGGCAAACTGTGAAATTGTATATTTTTTAATGAATGTTATATGTTGCTGCTTTATTTCCAGCGTTCTGCATCTCATGATTCTTTAGATCAAAGTTTTCTTGGTATTCCTGGCACTTCCCGGCAAGGTTAGTTTCAGACACTATTAATTCGCGCAAGAGTATTTTCTTAAGGAAATTTGCCCATTGAAGTACTTTCAATAGGCTAATACTTAAACAACATTCTGTAATGTTCATGCTACTCAGCATTGTTTTTGCCTTTTTCATCCACTGTTTCTAATCACCAGAATCTGGGACTGCAGATGCACGCTCTGGTTGGCCTGGGGCAATGGAGAATTGCAGCTGTCTGAGAAATGTGAGCAATTGTCACCCAAGGTAATAATAGCCCTTTTTTTAAAGAGATTTCAAAATGAATTCTTACTCCTCTACGCTGTATTAAAGATATGGAGGTGACATGCATACTTGTAGAATGAAAATGAGTGTGGGAGAGCCCAAGCTAATCACACCTGCAGACTTGAACACTGAGAGGCAAGGGTCTGTGGTCAAAATTAGCCAGACTCCAGCAAGGAGAGCTGCTGAGCACAAGACCGTAAGATGACCTGACTGAATACCTAATGTAATCCTTATCTGGTGTTCATTACAGAGGCATTTATTATTTTAGATATGCTATGGAGTTGTTTTTATTGTAGCTCTGTGTTTAAGCTGACAAGTCCTCTCAAAGAGGAGTGCAGCATATTGTTATTTAACAGGACTTGAAAAAGTTGGCCTCTGAGCAGTTGGGAATCATTATCTGCATGCTGGCTCTGTTTGGAACATATCAGAGATCCTCTCCTCATGCTATTAACACCACTGGCAATGTATTTAGATCTCTGGAAGCAGGACACTTTTCAGTTCCCTGAATACTGGCCTAAAATGTTTGGTTTTCATAGAAAATATGCAAATTTTAAAGGATTATCAAGCTTCAGGTCTCTTCAATTTTTAATTACAAACAGTTAATATTCTAAGCATTTTTAAATAATTAAAAGCTCTCTAAAAAAATATCGGTTTTTATTTACCAAAACATTTTTGACACAGATTTTTGCCATACGTATAATTTGTCACCAGACATTATGCTGCTTCCCAAGCTCAGTCAAGAAGTATTTTCACTATGCTTGAGATCATCATATGGCTGATATCAACTGATATTAACTGACAATGTTTGAATTAGAGGTTCAAAGGAAGGCTGAAAGCATTTTTTAAACTACTTGTATGGAGAATTTAACCAGAAAAGAAGTTTAATGATGTAAAGAAAAAAGTTTCAGTTTAAGCAAAGATGGAATTGAAATTTAGAGGCTTGTATTATAAATACATACAATATTGATCAAGATTATATTTTGATTATTTCTTGTATAATGAAAGATTGGAGACAAGCTGATGCTATGCAAGGATGTTTTTGTGATGTTGAGTATGCCCACTTAACTGGCCAAAGTTCTTCTCACTTCTTGAATTTCCTTTTGTTCTTCCTCACTACATTATCCTGTTTCCCCATACAGAACAGCCATTCCTGTAAGATTAGTTATTGTTTTAAAGGAAATGGGTTTTCCCTTCTTTAATGCCTATAAGTAGAGAAATTAAGGTTTCAGAGTTTTCTCCAAGTCATCTGGAATAAAATCTATTTCTTTCTTCTTTAATTACACAAAGATATGTTTGCTGATTTGTAGCCAAAATGGACTGTTAGCTGGAAAGCTTCCTGAGGCCTGTGGTGTGATATTTTTAGCTTTCTATGGTTCCCAGCAGTGAAGTTTTTTAATGGCTTCAGATCGCTCAGATGTTTAATGCTTAAGCCATGTGGAAAAATGCTCTATTTTGTAATGAATGGTTGTGAAAAGAAAAGGAATAATGTATTTCTATCTGGAACCAGATTGCCTTTATCTAGAAGATGATTATGAAAGAGATTTCTGAAAAGGAAATGTTCATAACTAATAACATAAGTATTCATAAGTAATATTCATAACAGCTCTGTGTGAGCACTGTCCTACAGTTTTACTGCTATTCTGAATTGTCAGATGTAAACCAAATTAGTTCAAAACAGGAGAGAAAATTTAAGCAATTTCTTAAGTAATATGCAAGGTGTTCTTGCTTGTGTCTATACTTTTTAACTAGTTGTGAATACATTCCAAGATTGCATCTCAAAGTTTAATAGATATACATAACTTAGGTTGATCTAGTAGCACTACTGAGGCATCAAAATGACGTAGCATGAATAGCTTCCTCTCCATCTGAAAGCACATAGGAAAGCAGACAAGGAGCACTGCTGCTGTTCACCTTCAAGATGTCCAGATATCTTGCTTTGACAATTTGTTTCATTTTCATCCTGTTCACTGGAGTTTCAGCAAATACAGTATTTTTGTGTAATTTGCTTCATCATCTAAACAGGTTTTGTTTTTTTTTTTCCTTAGGGTATACAGAAAACTAAGCTACACTGATAGGAAAGACCAATTGTAGGAATCCCTTGGATGACTCTCTGGTTAAAGCTCACCAAGAAGCATTAATGCACTGTTACAGTTTAAAAAGTTTTATATAGGTTGGGTTTTATTCAGTGTTGTTTCTTCTTCCAAGAATCAAGTATGTATAATTATATGTTAGCAATACACAACTAGTTCTGGTTTATACTTCCTTGTAGTTCAAATCTTTGGGAAGGGGTTTTTCCCTTTTAACAGGGAAAATATAAAATATTCAATTCTTATTCAATTTATGGCTAAGTTGGATTTTTATATTTGACAGTATTTGTAATAACAGAATGTGATCTGTATTCTTTTTATTTGCTGATAAGCTTTGGTTCTTATTGTATTAATAATAAGGAACAAGCTCATTTACCTAAATTGCTGCTCATTTATGTTTGAGTTTCTCAGTACAGATCCAAATTCATTGCTATGTTAATGTTAACATTTTCTAAGTAGATCACCAAAGTTGGTATAATAAACTTTGATTCTTACTGTGTTAATAATAAGGAACAAGCTCATTTACTTAAATTGCTGCCTATACATGGTTTTTGGATGCATCAGTACAGATCCAAAAATCACTACTATATGCTATGACTTAAGTTTTCTATGCAATGTTAATGTTAAAATTTTCCACAGTTGATTGTTCAATAAAATTTTATACTGTTTAGTAGGTTTGATAATTGCATTCTCTGTTTTGACAAAGTTGTACCTGACACAGTATATGTTCTAAATAAAAAACTATTCTGAACAAATACCTGCCTTCAACATTTTATTTCACTTATGTGAACTCTCAGGAGGAGTTTGTATACCTGCATGAGCAAATCCATGAGAATGAGGTATGAGGGTCCCACAGGTTTTCACTGCTGTGTCCTTTCTTGGCAAGGGGATTGTGTTAGTGGTGTTAGATAAGGTACTTGCTGTTTTATCAGCAGTGCCCCTTGTTGCCCCTTTTCCTTCAGAAAAGGAAGAAATTGTTTTTCTTTGGCTTTACTTTATTTCCAGACACACAGGAGGGTTTTATTTTAGCTCTTAAAACCAAAATCTTGTTATCTTAAGTATTGTTCTTGAATAGGACAAGAAGCCACCTCTAGTGAGATTTTCTCTGCAATATGAACTTCTGCACACACTTTCCATTCTTCATCATTTGGATATTACGTGTCTTTCCATGACAGCAGAAAAATACTGTCTTTTAGAAATCTCTTGGGGCTCTTTTTTCTTCCTTTTCCAGACACAGATGCACTGTAGGGAGTATATTTTATGAACTATCTTCCTCTTGGATTTGTTGAGGTAATTATTTCGCAGTATTTCTTGATACGCTAGTATTGAGAGATTGCATAATTCATTGTTTTCAGTTCTAAAGTAATTTAGAAGTCAGCTGGAATTGTGTTTTGGACCTGTTCTGACTCTAGGTAAGACGTCTACACAGCAACTTCAGTGCAGCTCAGACAGGTAAGGAAGATAAGTTGGTTTATTCAACATAGCAAAATTGTCTTCATGAAGATTCCTTTGTAATTATTTAAAGAGGTCATTCTTGGAAAACCTTTAAGTGTTGGGAGGTAAGATCATACCAATGCCATGTTTTGGGTGCTAGCAGTAGCAAAAAAGGGAGAAAGAGTTTCTATTTTTAGAGTTGATCCTCCTACACCATGTGAGCCAGCAGACCCTTGATACAAGCAAGTCTGTTGTTTCTCCTAATGATTCTAACAACTGCTAGACCAGGTATGTTTAGCCAGGTACATCTGCAGTGATTATCAAATGCTAAGTCACTGGTGAAATACATCTGCCTCAACTTATGAAGATGTCAGTGGTGCTACCTGATCTCTTGTGTTTTGAGTTCCAATCTTCTACCCTTCCAAACAATATTGCTTTTCCCACCATATTTCCTCTTGTTTACTTATTCTTTACTGTTCCATTGAACTGGTACTTGAATGCTAAGTTTACCATTAATAAAAAAAAACTTTACAGTGCTTCTCTTTGCTATAAAAATTTTTTTAAGAACAACTGCTAGACCAGGTATGTTTAGCCAGGTACATCTGCAGTGATTATCAAATGCTAAGTCACTGGTGAAATACATCTGCCTCAACTTATGAAGATGTCAGTGGTGCTACCTGATCTCTTGTGTTTTGAGTTCCAATCTTCTACCCTTCCAAACAATATTGCTTTTCCCACCATATTTCCTCTTGTTTACTTTACTGTTCTATTGAACTGGTACTTGAATGCAAAGCTTACCATTAATAAAAAAAAGCTTTACAGTGCTTCTCTTTGCTATAAAAATTTTTTTAAGGAACAGTGGAAAAACAGATGGGGTTACTGAGACAGTGTAAACCTAAAACCTAACACCTCTTCTTGTGTTGTAATTAGTTGAAACTTGCTTTATATGTAAAGAATTTAACTAGTATATGATAGTTTATGTAGGTCTTTCTCTAATGTCTTGAAGATGGCACAATATTGAACATGCTTTTTTGTGTAAGGATTCAGTAGTCATTTGAAGACTACCTCAAAACTTGTTTTAAAAAAAATTAGGTTGTTTGATTGCTTATTTAAGCAGATGGAGGGTAAAGAGCCAAAAGAATAAAGCTGAATTTGAATGTGGCAGCATTACAAATGCCTTGGAAATAGTTGATAGGCTATTAAAGATCATCCTGAGAGCCACAATCAATAATTACTGGAGGCAGTGATTAAATGTGGAAAGGAAGTATGTATAGGTATATATGGAGAATATTTACAAAAATGCTCTTTGAACAAACTATGTTGCAGGGGAATGCAGCTGATGAAAATTAGCATAAACATATAGCTGGATAAAACAATGAAAATCGAGAATATAGAGGAAACTAAATGTACTTAAATCCCATTAAGTGAACTTAATGTTACATGTACACTCAATGAGAGAAATGGGTATGTCATTTCCGTTAAATTAGTTACCAGATTGAAATGACAAGTTGAATTTAACCATTGTTTAGGTTTTTTTGTTGGGTTTTTTTTCCCCCCATAAATTTATCTTATCGCTTGATGTGTCCATCCATTTCTACCCTTAGAAGATGTTGGCTCTGTACTATGGACCTTTTGTTTCCAGGTCTGTCTCTTTCAGAACCAGTTTTAGGGCTCTATGCTTCAGAGTTTCAAGTTCCTTGGCACTGCTCTTTGGATTTTAAAGACTCAAATGCCCTGGTTTTTTGGGAAGACAGAGTGTCTGACACCTAGAGGCAGACACATTACATCAACTTGTTTCCTGCTGCAACTACCTAATGACTCCCAGAATATAAAAATAGCTACCCACTCTATAAAACTTACATTTAAAGGGTTTAGTCTTAAAATAAATGTGTAAAGAGTAAGTGAAGGGTTTGGGAAAATAAAAATCTCTTTCTGTTTTTGTAAAATATTTAAGGATGGCTATGGAAAACCCAATAGGAATGCAAACATAACATGGGGTATTGGAAGAAATACTTTCTAGATTTATTGTTACAGATGGTGTGATAATTTTTGTGGACCCTTGAATACAGCTATATTCAATATTACACTAGTAGAGGAGTTGAGATTTGAGATGTATTCTAGTACTGTTACAGGAAACTAAAGATACACAGAGATACTGCTGAGTCTTGTGAAATGTACAATTACTACTTTAAATCAGCTGTTAAATTATTCTCCAGTCATTGCCACAGACCAGTCACAGTCAGAAAGTTCACAGTGTGGAACAGCAGATCAGTTCTTGGTAAAACTAATCACCAAGTGTGCAAGTATGAAACACAATCTCATTTCAAAAGTATTGAAGTTAATATGGAATAGTACTCTGCTAGAGCTGTATAGACAACAAGGGGATCTTTTAGGACTGCTTGAAAGCTGATGATTGTTTAAAACAGGATCAATTCTTACTGGAATCACTACCATGTGAATGCTGAGCTACCAGCTTCTGCAACTCTTTCAAATTGTCTTCAGAAAGGCAGATCCATCTGAGTGGCAGTCTGGACCTATGTCTTGCTTAGTCTGTAAATGTTAACACTTAAGTTACCCATTTCATACCAAGGTTTAGTATGTCAGCTTTCTGGAATATTTTCTCTGATCAATCATTGATCAGAGAAAATGGAAAAGCAAATCTTACTTTATGGTTACGTATTTAGTTCATTACATATTCAGTTCTCCCCCTTTGTATTATGAATCAAGCCCTTTAATCTGATGGGGTCATCATGAATGGCTTCTACTTTTGCCGTGTTTTCGGCAGCCAGCTGCTCACTATTGAGGTAAATGCTAACTTTGGAAGCCACCATGGCATTAGATGATCTTTCTCCTTCATCTTCTTCTAATGAAGGATCTTTCTTTCTCCTTGTTTTTTTGCATTTTCCTTTGACACTGTGATCAAGTGAGGCATAACACATCTGACTGGCAGACTCCACCTGAAAGAAAATTCACTTCAATGTTCAGTAGTTATCCTTGCTTTAAATTCATATCTAAGTCTTCAACTATATGGTCTTATCATAGTCCTGCCTGAAATTTGCCTAAACTAGCTGTAAAACAACTCATTAAAAGTACAAATTATTAAACTGTGGGAGAATGGAAAACAGATCAATATAAGCTAATAGTAAATGACTGAGAGTGGCAATATAGAAAAATTCATCAAGGTATCATTGGAAAGATTCTCTGTGGGAGAGAGGGAAGCTCATGTAATAAGTCCAGGTTCTATGGGATGCAAGACATTATTTGATCTGGTTTTCTTCTCACTTTTTAAATCTTTTAGTTGGAATCCAGTTATTAACAGGCTTTGTTAAATCCAAAGATGGATGATTCTTGTCTATATATATGATCTCATTTCCAGTGCAAAATGTATGCTTTTTGTGTCTTTCCCCTGCATGTGCTTTTCAAGCCAGACCATCAATGACTATTGACACTGGAATGTCTAGATTTAAAAGGTTGTTCTTTAGCTGCTGGAAATACTCTGAAAATCCATCCCTATGAAATATGTGGCAATCAGCTCAGGAAATTGATGCTAGGAATGCTTCAATTACAGGCAAATTTCATTTGAAGCTTTCATGCTTTTAGGCATACAGGTATCTCAACAAAGTACAAATGAACAAAACAATCTTTCCCTGGTTAAGGCATATAGATTTTGCACTGGACAGGAGAGAGCCAGTCAAGCTCTTGTATTTTCACTTGGCTGATAACTAAACCAAATAAAATTAATTTTTTACATTAGCCATAGCCATGGATGCAAATTTAATTCCATGTGATCTGCATGCCTGTGGCTGAGCTTTATTATGCTGTATTGCATGGATCTGAACCGTCTACAATTATGTTTCCTTATTAAGGACTCAGATTGGAGGGTCAAGTTTGTACTGAAATACTTTGATGAACTGAGACACTAATGCATGGTAACTTTTGTGAGACTGTGAAGATTTTTGTTATATTCTCTTATAGGATAAATAAAGGAACTCTGAAACAGACCATGTTACTCTAATTCATAAATCTATAACTAAAATTAAAGATACCTGTAGCTGGTTAACTGTTCTTTGAGGCTGGGACTTCATCTGCTCGTAACAACATTCTTCTGTAATTTATTAAAGTAGAAAAATATTTTTATTAAGACATGCTACTGAGCTTTAAATGATCAGACCAACAGATTCTCTCTGTTAGAGAATGCTCTAACTAACATTGAATTAAATTAATGCTCTCAACTCCCCCCAGTTTGCTTTGGTAGGATGTTTGTTTTAAAATCACACATAGTTCTTTCCCTCTAATTATAGAGAGATAAATAGCTAAGAAATTCAGACACATACTGTGAAAATGAAAATTATTTTGTGTTCATATGAAGGAGAGATTTCTCATTATTTACTTATATGGGTGTCATTTTAGAGTGGTGGGAAGATTTCTTGCAATTAAGAGGTAGCCACATACTGATGAATTTTTCAGCACAGCCAGCCTTTTCTTTGACTAAGAAAGAGGTTGTGAGTTGCAGCAGCTGGTGATTAAATTCTGTTCCTGAATCTAGTTCAGTTTTCTGTAAATTTGGTTCCAGTTATTTTTCATGTTATATCTCATTTTAGCTGCCAGTAAAACAGATTACTTCCTTACAGTTTTCAGACTTTTACAATGTCGCTGCATTTGAGCATTGACTTGATTCAATTTATGCAAACTGTGTATGAAAAAGTTGGGTTTTTTTCGGGCTTTTTTTTCCCCCCACTTGCAGTTCAAGTGCTTTAGTTTTGCTTAACTCCAATTAAGGCTTGCAGAAAAAATTGTTCTCGTTACTTAAATACTTCTTTAACTCTATAAGGGCTTTGAAACCCTCTGTACATCCAGCTCTCACTGCATTACATGACGTTACAGCCTTTAAGGTGGTGTCTCTGCCAAGGATTGTTAACTTGAGCACAGTAAAGCACAGCCAAGCTCTCTGCCCACCATTCAGCTGCTGGGCTTCAGCACATTTGTTAGTGTCGCTGGTGATATGTGGATAGCCACAGCAGAGAGCTCTTATGTGTTTGTTTCTGCCTGCTTCTGTGGGAGCACTGACCCTGGACCATGAGTAATATGTGGTTTAGATAGCTTTAATAGGTGTGGATCAAGCTGCTGTTTCATTTAGTGTAGCTTTACATTTAGACAAGCTCTTTGTTTTGAGATACTTGGCTGAACAGGAACATAAGGACTGTAAAAAATCAAATTCAGTATGAGGTCTGTTCTTATAAATAGTAGTGCTGTATGAAGGTTTGTATTTCTATCCCAACTATCTTTTAATAATTTCAATTATATCAATAGCTGAAAATATGTAGATTCTAAAGTTTGCCGTTTGAGAAATGCAAAATATGTCAGCCAGTCATTTTTTAATCATACATTTTTATAGCCACTGAATAGACACAGGTTCCTAAAATAAAGCTTACCTAAAATATCTTGATTGAGATTGCCGTAAACTGGATAATCTTCTGAGTGATAGCCATCATAGCTACCAGGGGAATGAAAAAATACTTTTAATTCACAGAATATGCTTCATTTAGCACCCCAATACTATATTTTAGTAAATGTTTCATGCACATATGCAGATTGTTTGTTATCTTATAAACAAAATCAAATATATACAAGAGGGCAGAAATGGCAGTATGGGTATTCTCAGGAAAGATTTTTACCTAGCCCAGAACTGAACTCTCCTTTCCTGTAACTTCATTAAGCACAAAGCTAATCTCAAGACTATCAAGCTACAGTTTGAGGTAGGGTAAGAAATATTAATGATCACTGAAAGGAACCCAATTCATGTTCTCTGATACCACTCTGCAATACAAACTAACGCACCATATGTGTCTTTTGGGACAATGTTCTTAACAGGTCCTGTCTTGATTCAACTAAAATACTTCTGTCAACACAAACAGAGAAGACCAAAGCCAAGTTCAGCTTTGCATTTTTAATTGTACGTTGTGTTTCATTACCTGGTGTTAGTTTAAAATGTTTTTAAGTGGACTTGTAAAATGGGAGTTGTTAGTGGGAAGCACTGTGTAACCTTTCTACTGCACCCCTATATTGCATCTCATCAAGGGGGTGAAGTTGTGCTCTAACTCCACACTCAGTGGTATTTTTCATCTGAGCAGGCAGTAATAGACAAATATAGACTTGCCAATTTCAAGAAAATTTGTAATTGAGAATTGGTTTTGAGTAGGAGGTGCAGGCTTTTGTATTTTTGTTTGAAGGGCCTTTTATATTTGGGTTGAGATGAGACTCTATCCATCTCTGTTTTCTAAAGTTTGGGCTTGGTTTGGGTTTTTTTTCTGTGTGGCATAAGAGAGAGAGACTTGAAACAGATTTATGTAACGGATCATGAGATATCCTACAGCTGTAAACACACATTTTTATTGCTTTTGGATGCTATGTGTAAAAGATGGTTATGAAATGTAAATACATGTAAATTATCACTCCACAAGTATTAACTATCAGACTATAATTAGTCACTGCTTTGTGAGAGCTGAGAATTAAATTATTATGGAATTACTGACTTTAAGTGATAGGTAATGGTGGTTTAACTCAATATCTTGCACTTTCAGATAAAATTATAGTATTAGCATGCAATTATTTAATTCTTGATAAAATGACTGGAGGATGTATCTCACACATGAATATTTTTTCCCTAGGTTTTTTGAATTTTTTTTCCCCACTACCAACATTTCCAGGCAGACTGCATGAGATGTTGAATTTTCCTCTATGCCATCCCTCTGAAGCCATCTGTCATTATTTATTGCATATTTTACCCTTGCCAGAAAAATCTTTTTTATACAACTTACCTTGGATCGTTCTCTTCATAGTCTTTAAGTATTTTAGCTGGATTTAAAAAAAAAATTAAGATAAAATGAAACGTTATTTTAGAACACTTCAGTCTCAACAGGCATGGTTTTGGTTTTGTTTTAGAGAATACAGTTGAAAGCTCTGGCTGTCAGGATCTTCATTTGTCCCTCTACTTTTCTCAAATATTTTGTCAAATACAAGAAATGTTTGTGTTATGGCCCTGTGCTGTGCCTACAAAGTCTACATTAGTTTACAGTACTCAAAAAACATAACACATGGTTCATTCTTTATTTCTTCCACATTCTTCTTGTCCCTCATTTTTTTTCTCTCAGATTTTTTCTGGGGAGGTGAATCGTGTTAATATTACAAAGTGATGGGTTTATTTATTTCACTAGTTCTGGTATGGCTGAAAAAGAGATCCTGTGATCCACACAGATGAAGGAACTGAAGCAGAGAGGCAATGGCTACAAAGAGATTTCATGCTAGAGCTTGATGACTAATTCAGGAATGCCTGACTTCCTAAACTCTGCTCCAGGACTCCAGAATTTACCACAGTAAGCTCCAACTCAATGATTAATGTGGCACCAGCCACTCTGACCTAAATCTCGGTCAGGTTGGTTTTGTGAATGATTGTGATTCTTCCTCAGAGATATCTGCCTCCTAGCCCTAAAACAAAAACCAAAAGGCTCAACTGCCACTCATCCCAAAAGATTCCAGCAACTCTCTTCATATCCTGTGAATATCTGACTTCCTAATACTTAGTGAGCTCAGTTTATAAGCATGGGCCTTCTGTTTATGTAGATTATATACACAGGTGTATTTAGCCTTGTTGAAGTCAGCAGTGTTTGCCTGCCCACCCCTATGTTTACAGCACGGGCAGTTTTCCCTGTGTAAAGGGAATGGTGAGGATTGTACAACTTCCTAACCATGGAATCACATGCATAAAACAGGTTGCACTGGCACAATCTGTCAAAAAGTAGAAGTTAATTTTAACCAAAAAACCAGAGTATGACTGCAGCCATATGAGAGACACACTGGTTTAAGCAATGCAATTGCTTATGAAAAGCAATTAGAATGTTTTTTTCCAAAATACACTGATAAGGCATAAAATCTGTATGAAATCTGAAATTAAAATGAGCATTCAGGAATTTGGGGAGGAGAAAATTTTCTCAAATGTATTTTCTATCAACTTAAAATATTTTTTAAATGGAAATATAAATAATCAGTTATAGGAAAAGTATCCTTCCTAGGAAAGGAAATTGCAGGTATTAAAAATACACTTTAAAAATAAAAATTTAATCAGAACTAAATTCTTCTTGTTTTGCTGATTTGTCTTCAGAGAATGGATTTGGGTAGCTGTTTTTAGCAGTGGATTGGGCAGTTAGCAATCATTCTGTAATGATACCTGAGTGTCCTAAAATTTTTCAAAAGATAAATCCTCTCTAGTAAAATCATTCTTGCCAAAATATAACTTTAACATTCAGAAGAATCAATTTGTCGACTTGATAGCTCTGAGCAGGGATGGCTTTAAACATTGAAATTCCATTCCTTACAAAGGGATATTACTTACATTGCTTCTTTTTCATACAGTGTACAATATTCAGTGTCACTGAAATAAGCAGAGCCAAACTCAGGAAGGCCAAAACTCCCCAGACAGAAAAATGGCAGTCCATTCCTGTAACTGAAAAAAAATTTACTATTTGTGTTGTCTAACAATACTACTGTGTTCTTCGTGCTTGGCTGGTTTTTGCTTTCTGTAATTGAAGCTGCTATTTTGCTGTTTACTCTCTGACAGGTATTGCTATACAAGCTAAATAATTAATATCAAAACCAAATGCTAGATATTAAGAAAGCAACTTTAATAAACTGTTAGGAGAAATACTGTTTCATAGGAATTCAGCCAAAGATTAAGCTATTGGTTTGCCTGTCAGATGCAGTAAAAATCAGAAATTAATAAAGAAAAAGGTAATTTTACTGGATAGCTTTGAAATTATTTTTGAAGTTGTCTTTAAGTTAGTATTTGCAGTAAATTAAGTAAATTCTCAGCTAAATTCTAGAGTTCATGAAAGTAGTTCTGAATTTACTCAAAACAAATTTGCTGGATGTGTCTCAGAATAAGCTAAGACTGTAATGTTTTAACAATCCCTGGAAAAAAAAAAAAAGTAAAAATTTGGTTATGTTTTCTTGCATTGTCTTCCAGCTATTAAAACCACTTACTTGTTCTTATTTTCTTGCCTATGAAACCAGAGAATGTGATGATAAAGGATAAGCATCAGCTGGTAGCCAGTGAAGTCCCAGGGAAAAGTTCAAACAGCTCCTGTAAAATCACTTGGTAAAAGGTGGGTCCACTTATCTGAACAAAGTCTTCTTTTGCTCTAAACTTGCCACTCCTTGCAATAGGAAAGAACCCCCCTGCATAAAATCTGATTTTTCATTTAATGACTTCTTTAATTAGCCTAGCTTATACAAATTTCCTTCACAAACCATGCTGAATAAAATAGCCTATTTGTGGCTGTCTAGTGGCCAAAATTATCAGCATCGCTACGAATGGCCTGGGAAAGCCTTCCGTGACAGAGGAAACACTGAGCCAAATAAATGAGTGAGAGGAGCTTGCAGCTTTATTCTTAACTTTCCTAGAAGCATATTTCATGTTCTCTGAGATTTAGAGTGTTTGAAATAAAGCCTGGTGCCCAAAACTAATGACCTCTAAATAGTGCGTAAAAAGAAACATGTAGGTGGAGCAGAGCAGTCAAGGAGTTGGATAGAAGCATATTTCATGTTCTCTGAGATTTAGAGTGTTTGAAATAAAGCCTGGTGCCCAAAACTAATGACCTCTAATAGTGCGTAAAAAGAAATGTGTAGCTGGAGCAGAGCAGTCAAGGAGTTGGATTGGACGATACTGATTCTTAATGCACTTAAAGCCAAGTTAAAGGAGTACAGGAATGCACTTTTCCATGTTGCTGGCCAGAGGAGGATGGCAATGCATTTGCTCCTGCTGAGAAAACAGAGCTTTGTTCCTTGACTGATCAGGCTCCAGCTCAAAACCTTCTTACAGGTTTTGCCCCCTCATTGTGCTGGTGTTGCCAAAGCTCTTTTTGTTTTGTTGTGCTCCAACCCCCCAGGTGTTCTTATAATGACAAAACTAGATAAGATAAGCCCTGGTAGTAAAAAAATCACAAATCACCTGGGCTTCTGGGATGCAGGTTTCTTTCCTGATCAGAACACTCTTTTAAAATTAACAAAACAAAGCAAATAAGCTGTAATCTTCTGACAGACTTTTAACTTTTTTTGCACATGGTACTTTTAGTGGCCATTTATTCTTCTTTTTAAACTAAACATCCTGTTTCCCTCCCTTTCTACTACTTGAGTTCTTCCAAATGTGTTTGAGAGTTCTTTATCACTGCAATACTCCTTTTCGTGTTGAAAGGCACTTCTATGCAGTGAGATACAGACATTTATGAGGAGAGACAATATCCCCATGGAGCAGCTATACATCATTCCAATTTTTCAGGGAAGGAATTAAAAGAATGGGAGATCCTACACTGAGAAGATGTTATCAGGGTGCATCAAGAATCATCAGTCTTTGGAACCTGGTTACTGTGCAATTAGTCACTCAATATTGCATCCCGTGCAACCCGTCCAAAACTACAAGTCTGTCCAGGACAAGAAATTTCAAGTTTCAGTGTTGTACCTAAATAATCAGAATCCTCTCATTCTTCTCCTGTCTTTTTTTTTTTTTCTGATGTGATTGATTTCCATTCTCTCATGTTCATTTCATATTTCTTTTCCTACACACACTTTTCCCAGGAAGCAGAAGCAGTGTTGTGCCCTACAAGAAGGGAAGCACATGTAACTGTGATAGAATCACAGCATCAATCACATTGGAAAAGTTCTCTGAGATCATCGAGTCCAGCCTGTAAGTGAACAACACCTTGCCAGCTGCACAATGACACTCGGTGCCACCACCGTTCTTTCCTGAAACACCTCAGGGACAGTGACTCCCCCAGCTCCCTGGGCAGCCCATTCCACAAGCCATAACACTGAGATTCATTAGAGCAAAAAGAGTGAGCAGGTGCTGAAAGTACACTTATGATCTAACATTGCTCCTTTTTCTTCTTATAGAATGTTGCCATTTATCTCTCTGATTCGGGAATCCAATTTTTGCCTGGTGTTTCCAGAGTAGAAGGAAAACTCTTAGTTTCAATTTGACTATTTTGGCCCACTTTTGTTGACAAGTATTATTTTCATGTTTCAGTTTTTGATTTAAATTGAAGTTATTATCTGGAAAATTGTAAAGGTCAGATAAAATTCTTTTGGTTTTAGTTTTCAAGTTTAAATTCTCTAGTATTTGAGCCATCCTACTTCTCAAGAATTTAAAAAACATTCTAGGAAAAAAAAATATATGAAACTTAGATTTCTCATAAAATGTACCAATGTTTTAAATTTTACAATCTACAGTTTTTAAGCATGATTTAGGAAATTTCATGGGTGTGGGTAGATTAAGAAAAGAACATTTAAATTTCTTTCTGGATGAAAACTATTTAACTTATTTTTAAATTTATTTTCTATAACACTGACGTAAAAATCTGCTTGTGTTTTAGTAGAATGTATACAAATATATGTGTGACTTCATTATATTTTTTTTGTTTGTTTTTATAATACTAGCTATTTGTTTGTCAGACAACACTACTTATATGGGAGAAACAACAGCAGTTTTTACTTAGCCTGTAAAACCATAGTAAACACCATGATTGGAGACGTACTGGTGCTCTTCTGTGAGATCCACGTCATTCTAACATTAGTTTCAAGCTACCCAGATTTAAAATATGAGAAAATCCAATTTTATATCCTAGCTTTACAGATATGCAACTCCCAGATGTTTCCTACGTCTTCTTGTTCTTATAGGTGTTTCTGATATGCTGCTTACATTTATAACTTCATTATTTCAATATTAACTACTTTGACAACAGCAGCATTAGAAGGAAAGCTGACTGCATGAAGAAAAATTTGTCTCCACGGACAACTACACTGCTCTCCCTAAATGTGCAATAGCAGATGCAACCTTTCACAGTTAACGGGTTGTGCTAAAGACAAAAATAAGATAGGGAGACTGTAGATGGTGAGAGAGAAATAAACAACAAGTCTATTGGACTAATTATATTCCATTTTGAAATGCTGTCTTTTGTTCTGTTCTCTAATTTTAATTCTCATGCAAGTCATCTATTCTCAAATTGAGCAAAACTATAATTTATTTTTTTTTAACATAACATATAATTAGTCCAAAGAGCCTGTGATTCTGTATTCAGGGGCATTCTCATTCAAGCGTCAAACTGAATATTTGAAAAAAAAGAATGTTGTATCTTTTGAAAAACGTAATATGGAATAATTAGGCTGCTTGGGAATAGGACACTATGATTCTAAAATGATGAGCTCAAATTCCATTGGGGTTTTCTGTGACTGTCTATCTGTGATAGGACTTAAGGGTGGTAGTAGTTTGTTACAAGAAATAATATTGAAGTCTTCTGAAGGTAATGCGCTACTCTTTGAAGGGAAGAATTTCGTTACATACCCAAGGTTTCATGAGAGGGACAACAACTCTTGTTATATTGTTAGAAGACTTTGGGATGCATGAGTGGAGAAATATTATATTTAATAATTATAAAGATGACAGTATTTTGATTAACTAATATCAGACTCTCTCTAGTATTAATGACGCATTCTTATGCTGCTGTTCTTCCATTTATCTTTGAAAACCAGGTTAAACTTGGAGTAGCATCCAAGTAGAACGTCTGTCTTAGGTAAGTTACTTCATTTGGATAATGTTTTTACTTTTCTAACTTCAGGGATGGGTCACTCACAACCTCTTAGTATATTTTTCAGTGCTATAAACTGAATGTACTAAATTCACACCACAAATATAGACAAACAAAAGACCTTCTAAATACGTAGTTATTTGTGCTTTTTCTCTTTAAAAGTCTACTGACAACTTTCTCCACCAAGAGAAACATGGGAATAAATAGAGTTTTGGTTATTTGTTCTTAGATTTTCACTTTACAAGGTTCATTATATTGTCACTGGAGTGCTGTGAGGGAAAAGAAGCTAAAAAAAACCCAACCAAAAAAACAAAATCCTCCAAAATATTCTAATCTTTCCTGGGTGAATTTCTGCTATTCCTTTTATTGCAACTCAAAGGAGTGTATATAATCCTGTAGGGAGTGGAGCCAGATTTAACAATTCATGTTGGATATTTTATTACAACAAAAGAATAGGTAGCAGAAGTACTATGTTTTGTTCCCCCTTGCTCTAATATATTTTCTTTAGATAACCCATCACAAGGGATAACAGGGAGATAGAATACCTCTACCAGGTTTTTGTACTGAAAAGGACCATGAGGTGAGGAACATAGATACCATCTAGCTGGACATGCCATGTGTGGTATCAACATGTTATCCACTGAGGCAGATTTATTGCTACCAGATTTATGGTGACAATCTGGAGCACAAAATGGTTTCTTCCCTTTCTTTCCTCTAGTTTTTTTCTACAAATTTGTTAAAGATTAAATAAAACTGTCTTTCCTCCCCCCTTCCAATTAAATATCGATATAAATAATATTTTGTACTAATGGCCCTTAGAAAAAGAAACTCATTAAGAGACTGATGAATGTTAAATTAGCATTAAAATTGCTTCCACCTGTGTGAGCATTTAATGCAGGATTAATTCTCTGAAAAAGATTCCTTAAACTGCAATTAATTAGTGCACAACTAGTTGCTTTGTAAAATGTCAACTTCATATTTCAGAAGGGAAACAGCACATTGTAAAATAAGAAGGCCCACAGCACAGTATTTTCAGAATAAAACAAATGCCTTAATTAATGAAGGCTTAGCACCCTAAGCCACCTTTTAGAAGACTGTGAATCTACCATAGCGTGGCTCTACTGCTCCAATGCTTACAAGTTTAAAATATAAGGCTTACCTGGTTCTGTTGCTTCTAGGAATACTCCCCTCTCCTTTACCCAGCAGGAAATCAAGTTATGTTGGCAGAAGATGGATATTCTTGTTTTGAACCTGGCAGCATGAACCTCTCTTTAGAGTTGTTGTTAATCTCAAATCCCTCCAGTCTTTTTTTTTCACCTTCTTTCTTGCAGACAGGAAATGAGGTTCAGCTTTTACAAGCAAACACACATTCTCCTTCAGTGCTTGCCTCCAAAAGAGAATTAAAGTATTTATGTGTATGCTTGTATTTATTGTTCACCTGTCTTGCCTCAGAAGAACATGTACAGGACTATTAGTTTCATTGATGTGATACAAACCTGCTTTTGTAATATTCATATTCACAGTCACACTCTAAGTCTTCTTGAGTTTAATGTTATGTTGAATTCAACAAAAGTATTTAGATGCTTCTTAAAATAAATTACAGACCTATTTTACCTAGGAGTGTTATGTGACTCTTGCTCTCTTGAAGTTTCTAAACCAAAGCAGAAAATCATTGCTGAGAGCTTACAGTTTAGCAACAACAGGATTCAGAGGCATGATGAAGGAATTATAACACTCCATCTCTTGAAAGTCAAGTTAGAATAACATAATTCTTCCATTATTTTGAGTTTATGAATCTGAGGCCACAGTCCACTACAGTTGTAGAAAGAAAGGATAAACCAGTACGTGGCTTACTGTGTGTATTTGTCTTTAGAATTTAATGAAACGTGTCTGTGTTTAGGTAGAAAAGCCATTTTATTCTCAGAAGCAGAGTAGCTTCTTCCAGAGGAAGCTTGCACACTGAGCATTGTCAAAGAAAACTTCTGCTAGCTTCTGATATTTTAGGTATAGTTTGGGTTAGGAGGTTTTTCTTTAGAGCAAATGGTTTTATTTCCTATGTATGATGTAGAAGTAGGAGGGGGTTCTTATGAAAAGAATGTGAATCACATGACTATGTTTGTCTTTTTGGACTACATAAACTGAAATAGCCCTCAGTGTAATCTAAGGAGCAATGTAAAGTTCTGCTCTTTCTCTAATGTGAGAAAATGTCCTCTGCAATCTGTGTTTACTTGGGTTGCTATTACTTTGGATTATTATTTTTGTATTAAGTGCCTTGGATCAATGCTTAAGAAATAATTTACTGGATTAGCATCTTATTTGAACATGAAGGAACTGATTAGTCTTGATTATAATAATATAGCCCATTCGATTCTAAGGGTGCTATAGACTCCTAACTATTCAGAGCATTATCATAATTAAGTGAATAGAGCAGGAGGAATTAATCTGAAAATACTCAAAATGGTGGCAATTCTTATCAAAGGATACTGAACTGAGAGAGGAATTGGAGAGGGTGGAAGATGCACATTGTGAAAACAAAGTTGCTTCATTTCTCAGCTAGGAGCACATGGAGTAAATCTGAGATCTGCAGAGGATTCCAAATAAAATGCTTATCAGCCTGAACAAGAAGCTTACAAGAAATAAACTCCTTTGGAGATAATTAGGAGCATAATGGAAAGGTGAACACTGAGAATGTAGCAGGGGATTTCTGAGTCTGTAGTCCTGCTGGTGTGTTAATAAATCTGCTCTCCAAGAGCAAATCATTGCTGTGCTGTATCAGCTTTGAATGGCTGCAAAAGAAAAGTCTATTGGAATAAATGTGAACTTGGTATGCTATTTTGGGCAACTTGCAAGAGACAGAAGGCTCTGTTAGATAGCAAAAAAAATATTCGCTTCAGGCAGTAAAATCCATTGGGAATATGAGGTTTCTTTTTTTTTTCCCTTTCCTTTGTATCAGTGCTATGTTAAAAAAACTTAAGAGAGCCAATAGTCTGCTTAAAGTGCTGTTATTCAGGACAATAGAGACAAGGACAAATCATGACTATATTTAGAAAGAGAGGACATAAGGCAATGCAACTTCATCCCCATCTATTGCATACAATGGCATTTCCTCCTCTGTTTTAAGTCCCCAAGCTATAAATTCCTGCGTGCATATTCTGGGAAAGTGTCTCTGCCTGCTTAATTCCTTATGTGATCTTTGGCAAACATATGATGCTGGTATCTCGAGAAGAGTCTGTCTCAAGTGGACATCTGCCTTGGCTGGGAATAGCTCTTGCTACTGAAGTTCTTGGAGAACCTAAAACGAGCACGATTAAATATTGATGTGTGCAGATGTACATGAAGGAATGAGTGTGCTGAAATGGAGTCAAACAAACAGTACATAAGTACATTTTGTCATGTATGCAAGTTGCCAGCAAGTTGTGCTTTTCTAAAACTGCAGAATGCATGTTTATTCTGGCTTCCTGAAGGTGAAATAAGTTGCGTAACTGACAACACCATCAGGCCTCAAATGCCTACTTTATCTATTACTACTCAAATTGCAACCTTTCTTTGAAAAATTGTAAAATTTTCTATGCTAAGTGTTATAGTGGAAATCCCCTTGCAAAGAATGTAAGAGACACTCTTTGTAGTAGCAGTCTTGAAAAGAATAAGTATTCCTGCAAGATGTAAGTTATATTTCTGTTTGAAATGGAAATCTATTTTTAATAATAAAATTTCAGAATTTTCTGGGCAAAGTGACTGCAGCAGAAATGTTTTTAATTGGGTTTATGCTGAAGTGCAGTCTGCTCTGGTTCTAGTCTCACAAATATATTGGAGAAATAGAAATGTTCTTTTAAGCTGAGCATGTGTCTCTACTTCGATGTCAGGTGCAGACCTGGTGCTTCTGGTGCTGTGAGCACAAATGAGCAACAGTGCTACAGGAGAGAGTTTGGTTTAAAACAGCTGCAAGAAAGAGTCAGGCCTTTCAAGTGCGCTTCAAATGCTGCAGAGAGCTCTTCTATCTCTCACAGTGAATTTTGTACTTAATGATAAAATGAAAAAAAACTAATTAGGGTCCTTTTGCATTGCACACAAGCCTGTCTTTAATCACTGTTTTACTTAAAACCAGCATTAAGCAGAATGCTATCTCATTAACTACCCCTGAAATTGTGGCTCCTATTAAAAGCAGTATCATGCATTTCCTGTGGGGAAACCACTGGGTGTTTTTTTTCTGAATGCTACAAAACCTTATTATCAAGGACTATAAAGAGAAAATGTCTTATCTTGATAACGCTGCACTGAAAAATTTCCATTGAAATCTTACACTACATACTTGTGCAGCTTTGGGTGGGGTTTTCTGTGTTTCACGTTTTGAGATAGCAGAGCAGTCCCTGTGTACTTAGCAGAGAGAAAATAGAACAGATGCCACTTCATTCAAAGCCTGCAGAGATAAAGTGTGGCTTTTCCCTTGACTTCACTAGATTTTATTTTCTGTTCAGATAGACACTGTATCCTGAGAGAGCTGTAATCTCTAGTGATTTTTCTTTCAATAGCCACAAGAAGAATGAACTTCCTATTAAAGTGCTATCATCCATTCACCTGGATTTAGAAGTTTTTTTAGTTCCCTCTTGACACACTTATACAAGAGTGTGGGCAGATACTTTCCCTTGGGCAGCCAAAGGGCTGACCCTGCAACTATTTCTCATGTGAGACATCCTCCTGAAGCCAGCAGACTCCACTGCGCTTGGTAGCAAGCTTACAACTCTATCAACTTTGACCAAAGTGCAAGAAGAATTTGTGATAGCAGCTCTAAAATACTGAGCTAGTTCTTTTAAAAGTTCCTTGGGACTACCACAAGCATGTCCATGTGGCTGTACTGGATCCAGTGTAGAAAACTCAAACTGTACATGTGGCCTGAAGCCTTGTGGAGAATCACCCTGAACAGTCTAAGTCCCTTGCTATGGCCTGAGCTGAGAAACTGACTCCTCACGTGCCCTCATTGCTGAGGTGATGAAGCTGACTCCTGCTCTGCAGTGTGTCCTTAACCGGCTTAGCCTTCATAGTGGACTCTCTCATCATGGCTAAGGAATGTCAGAAGCTTGTCCTATGTGTTTCAGTGTGTTAAACTTGCTCTACCTTGAGTGAAGTCTTCCCAACCATAATTCTGAATGAAAATAGTCCTTACTTTACGCAAAACAACTTCTGTGCTCTACTGAGTGACTGGTATTGCAGGTAGTGAGTTCTTGTAACTCAGGATGCCATCTCTGCATTTGAATACTGTCTCTTCCACCACTTTTTGGAGCCTGTAATATCACAGCATGGTTCGTGTTGGCCTGTCCTTCTGGGCACAAGAAAAATTCTGAGCTCTTTAAAACCTGATGGAGACCGAGTCTAGGCTGTCTTGTTGAGGGCTCTTGTTGGAAGTCAGACTCTGGTGTGTATGTGAATGCTCTCACCTCACTTTGCCATGACATTGCAGGTAAAAGCATTTGAACTAGATTTCTCTGAAATCTCCTCTGAAATACTTCCTGAATTTTATCCAGAGGGACACTATTGCCCTCATGATACAGTTGCCAGGGGGCAGTAGAAAAACCACTAAAGTGTAAGTAAAGTGCAGGTTATGCACGTCTGACAAGTCAGAAACAGTGACAAGGAAATGAAAAAATGTATGAGCCTGCCTCAACCTGTGATTGCAGATATTTGCCAGTAAACTAAGGTATCTCTGCAGTGCAGCTTAATGACTGCTTAGATCTAATTAATGTGTATGTAGGTTGAGAGAAAGATTTGAAATAAAAACTGTGAAGGTAAGCTAAGCCCTAAAAAGTGGTCAGTGATGCATTGGAGTAATGAATTTGAAGTGAATCACCTAACTACTGAACCTTTCAGCTTAGAAGTGTTGTAGTTGTATCTCTATTTAAAGAAATTCTGGTAAGCAGATCAAAGTGCTCATCTTGCCACATTCATGTCTGTTAGAACATTGTTTTCTTACTACTTCCTGTTGAGCAGCACATTTGGGCACAGCAAAGCGTGCACTGCTTCTCTTGTAGTTTAAACTGTCAGAGTCTTGTTAGCATTTACTGAAAATAAGAACACAGGTGCATGGAAAATGGTCGTCCCACAAAATGTTGAAAGCCTATGAAGTGACTGTCCTACATTGGCGTGTGCATTTTGGTGTTTCTCAGAGGCCAAAGTAGGTACTGTTCCAGGAGTTTTCTTTGAGCATGAGACTTGGACTAAAGTGTCTATGTGAAGGAGGCAGGGAATAGGCAGAACTTCTGTCTCTGTGTGA